CCCCCATTAATGGGGGTTAAAGGCTGTCAGCCTCGAGGGCAGTGGGCCTGCCCAGAAGGCCGTCTGCTGGGAGACTTGTGGGCTTCCCTGGGCAGTTGGTTGGCCCCTGTGAAAACAGACTGCTAGACTAGATGGGCCGGGGGTCCCGTCCAGCAGGGCACGGCTTACATTCTTACATAGTCACCTTACAGTTGGACTACTGCAATGCACTCTACATGGGGCTGCCCTTGAAGATCACTCAGAAGCTACAGTTGATCCAGGAAGCATCAGTGCAGGCCGTGATGGGCATGCCTTGATATGCCCATGTGACAGCTCTGCTCCATGAGCTGCACTGGTTGCCGGTGGACTTCTGGCTGCAATCCAAGGTACTGGTTATCATCAGTGAAAGTTTCGTCCTTCAATTTCCCCTTGGCACAGAAACAGGGAAGGAACATTGGCAGCCTTCCTAGCCAAGGCAGCATTTGCAAATGGTGCCACCCCTTGGGGTCTTCTGGAAATTGACGAAGCAGGATATAAGAATGGGCAGTTTTCATGGATGGACTAGACCACCGTTTTGGCAGACCAGGGTGTCAGTGAGCAAGAGGCAAAACCTCCAGATTTACCTCTTCTCTGAGACAGGGAAAGAAATACCAGCTTTTGCGCAGCTGAACCTGTTGCAAAGAACTCTGCAGACCTTGGACGGTGCGGAATTTGACATCAAGGGGAAGAATGGGAGTGGCCATCCTTATCAAAGAGCCTCCTTCACTGAGACACCGGCTGCTGTCTTTCGGTTTTTGTCCAAACAGTTGAGCTGAGCTCCATAGGCAGCGGCTGTCCATGCCCATTAAAGAAAAAATCTATACAAGAAAACAGCATAGGGTTAACTTTTCACATGCTCAAGCCTTCCAAATGCCCTTCCATTTCCTGCCTGGTGACAAGACTGGAAGGCCTCTGAATAGGTGAATAGGAGAAAATGGTATTTCTGTATCTCGCGTGAAACTAATTCCCATGTGCAGTAGAAGCGATTCCTTTTCTTTTCCCCCATCCCGCTGTTATTCCTCTTGACTGATGGCGCTTCAGCTATTGATGCTGACATTCTGTGAAGGGCCAGACTTGGCTCTTGCGAGCTTTCTGAGCTGGGAGGCGTGAGCCACAGCCAGGGAGACCACGGTGGTGCGGTGGCAGCCCCCCTCCCTCCCCAAGATAGCATTTTCGTCTGGCTTCCTGGCTCGCGTTTAAGGACCAGGAAGCCCTGCCTCTGTGGTCTGGGGACCTGCAAGGTCGCCCTGGTCCTGCCTCTGGAGTCTTCAGGATCTCAGCCCCGGATCCGGGCTGTTCGAAAAATATGCCAAGGGTAGCTGAGGCCCAAGGAGAACAGGAAAACCCTAACCTGAAGATAGTCTGCTTATTAAGTGGGAAGGTTGTTCCTCCACAGACTCACCTGAGATATAGGCAAGCTGAATCCCTCCCCCAAAAGAGGGGCAGTGGCTGATCCACACAGTTCCATTTTAACTTAAGTTTTTAAAATGTCCAGATGTCCTTTCTATTCGAAATAGAAAACCTGCTGCTCCCCAAAGGCTTTATTCCGCACACGGACAGCCCCGGGGCCGTGGACTGTGACATGCACTCTCCCCCCACCCCCCACCCCGCTTAAGGTTCCTGCCACGGTCGTCCTGCCGGGCAGTGTTCTGGCCATCATGCACTCCGCGGGTCCCCCAAA